TAAATACAGGGCATCTGCTAGTCGCATACACACTGTGTGCAACATTCCCACTCGTTCCGTTTGTCTCCTTTGTCTGCTATTGTCCATTGTCCGGCCCTCATAATTTGCGCTTTGTTTTATTGCACGAGTTGCATGCTGTTTAATTCGCGGGTCCACAGCTCCAGGCTTATTGTTCCATGCTACACATACAAACATAAGTAAGCAGATAGATGTATGTATGTATGTATGTATGGATGTACATAAGCATAAGTACCCGTAGTTCTTATATATTTTGAAATGTGAGTCACGTTTAAAGTTTGGCGTTCTGTGCCCAGCATTGGGACCTTAAATGGGTTTGGCTTAACTGCAGCGCATCTTCCTTGAAAGTCTCGGGGCCCCATTTATAGCGCTAATTGCGCGCATTTTGTTGCGCTTGTTATTTACAAATGCACACGATTTGCTGGCCAATAACAAGTTGGCTAAGTGCAGCTATCGGGCAAAATAAGTTGCCGAGTAACTAAGTCTGGCAACAGTTTTTCTCAGCTTTTAAGAGCCACTAGGGTTTTTGGGCAAAGGCCAATAGTCAATTGCAATATTATTGCCTTGTTTCGGCTTGGATTCTATTAAGCCTGTTTTTACTGAAATGTTAATAAATAATTAGTGGAAAAATGCACTTCGCGTGCATTGCAATACCCTTTAATAGTGGAAGGAAGACTTGATTTTTAAGGGAAGTTCAAATCGAACTTGATTTTAATAAAATTAAAAAATTCGTTGGGAACTTTAAGATTTGTTATTTATTTGAGTGTGATCGTAAGTTCGATTTAATCTGTATTATATTATTTAAGTAAGTTGTTTTATATTTTTATAATATTCTTTTTTATTGAACTCAAAAACTGTTCGCTTATTTAATTTATTAGATTTTTTGATATGTCTGCTGAAGAACTCTTACGACTTATTCTAGGGTAGCTCGTAGTCACGCATTTCTCATTTCTTGTTCTGTAATATTTTAAATGCCCATATTATGGAATATTTATGTGCTGCCTTGGATTATATGTGCATATTTGCGCTGATTGTGCCCTGCGGCGGATGTGTAAGCGTCGGTCTGACACACACACACACATATATCACACACTCGTACACACACACATATACATACACACAAGTACACGTAAATAGCAGAAGCTTCCGGTTATTTATATTGTACTAACAACAACAAACACAGCGAAACGCTTGTCGATTGGCGTCGTGTCAGGCGCGGAAAATGCCAAAATCAATGGAGATTAAAAGCAAACCAAAATATAAAAAAAAACTACAAGTAAAAGCATTTTTATTTTAATTTTTTTCAAAGTCTTTCACTTTAATGAAAGCTCAAAAATGCATTTGAATCTGTGAAAAGCGTTTTTTTGGATCAATTTATAAATGTTTATATCTTGTGCATTAAAAATGCATAAATATGGCCAGGCTATACGTATGTTGGTAAGTGCATTATGCTATGAATGTGAGTATGTGTGTGTGTGTGTGTGTGTGTGTGTGAGTGTGAATGCTCGTTACGCATTTATATAGACATAAACATTTATCATTAATGGGGCTGCTGCTTAACATATCGCCGCATGGACGCAGAGGCGATAAATAAAGATTAAAATCTCTGAAATGTGCACAAAAGTGGCTGGCACTTCATTTCAATTTATGTATTTATACTGTATTGGACCGCGTAAATTGGTGACACACACGCACTGACACTCACACATGCATACTGCAGGGCGTTGGGCATAAATCAAAAATGGTTGCATACTTTTTGGAGCCACGTTTCAATTGCAAATAATTTAAGCGGTCAACTTCGCAGCCAGTTTAAGTTGAAAGAGAAAATAACAACAGACCACAAGAAAAAAAATAATAAAATTTAAAATTGCGCTGGCAGTGACATTGTGTATACGCACTGTGGTGCGTATTGAAATTCACAGCGTGCGTTTGAGATTTCGTATTTTATTTTTGAAGCACGCTTTTGCCACGCTTTTCCGTCTTATTTTTTATAGCCATTAAATCAAAGTACAAATAAAAGAAAGTAAATAAAAAAAAAAATAAAAGAAGTTATAACCTTGGCGCAGAATGCCGGGCAGGCATTCGCTGTTGTTCGGGCTGGGGAAGTGTTATATGGCCTTTGGGTTCAAATGAAATGCTGTAATGTTGCCATAAAATCGCGAAAATTTCGTAAAATGCACTTTACGCGCAACGCTTGACACACGTACGACTACAGCAATTTTCCATGCAATGAATGAAAATGTATTAACGATCGCTGGGTAAAAGGAAAAACTATTGAGAAAATGTGTAAACTACAAATCGAAACAATAATTATCGCGTGCACGAGTGTTAAAGCAAAAACCAATAACAAAGTATACAATACATTTATACATTTTGCATATTTAAGAGCACATTTAACAGTTTGTTGCATAAACTGCATGCCGAAATTAAATACCAGCATGCTGAAATGCTGCTGCTTAATTATATAATACAGTTACCCGCCACTTCCTCAGCCGCACGCACATTCACATCGAGCAGGCGATGGCCTTTTAATTACATTTTAATAATTGTACCAAAAAATTGCAATAACGCCATAATGGCACACAAACATACTTACGTACTTACATGCATGCGCATACAGTATAAGCCAGCACAAAATTTGGCCTAATTGGTTGCCACAAAATGTTGGAAGCCAAGCGGCAGTTGCACGCTCCGCTGCCTGCTGCCTGCTGCTAGCGACACATTTGACAGCCAACAAAAAATTTATATTTTATATGTCATAGACATTCTGGTAAATACGCATATAGTTTTGAAAATAGTATAATAAAATGCCTTAAACACACACGCACACTCACATCATTTACATGTGCTAAACATTTCAGTTGCAGGATCAGGCTTTTGCTCCTGTTGCCACCAACAGTTGCATTAATTAGTTGCTCAACCCGCTGTTGGGCGGGTTACAGATAGAGGAGGGGCGGGAGGTGTGTTTTTGAGTGTGTGTGGGTGGTTGTGTGGCTCGCTGTTGCGTGTTGAAACTATTTCATATGCAAATGTAAATTTAATGAGTTGTTGAATCTGCTGTCCCAGTGCATGTGCGTTAATTCTGTGTGTGTGTGTGTGTGTGTGTGTCGCTGTGTGTCTTCGCATATTTAATGGCAAATATTTTGTTAATTTTTAATTTTAATTGCAGTCGCTTGTTTGTAATTTTTGCATAATTTCGGATGCATGGGCGTGGCACCACCCACAATCAGCAATTAAATTATGGTATTTATTGTACATTCAGATTATCTGGTTAATGTGGCATGGCAAAATTCATATATGTGTCAGTTGATTTTAATGTACCGAACGGCATTTAAATTCACATTTTATTGTGCATAAATAAATAATTGTAATTATTTATGCCATAAATGTGTATTAAATCAAATAAACTATGGCAAGTGGAGTTGAGTTGAGTTCACGTTGATTAATTCTATGCCAAAGTGAATGGCAAATGCAATTGTCCGGACAGCAAAACCCCAACCCGGTTTTCTCTTTTTTTTTTTGCCAGTGCCATCTAGCTGATGGAATTCAATTAAGTGGGCATCTTTCACAGAACAAAAGCCACATACACACACACTTACACAAACAAATAGTGGCCAGTTGTCCGAAAAGCTCTAAAATGTAACATTCAGTTCGTTGCAGTTTGTTGACTTTTGATACCCTGCACCAACAAAAAGCGGGTAAGAGTGTAGTGTATTACAGAAATAACATGTTGACTTCCCAAATATATAAACGTATATACATATGTATTAAGAAACTTGGCGATTTCTAAAATCAAAGCGACTGGCATTAATTATTTTGTATTACACGATTTCATATAATCGTGATTAAAGGAGCTTTACTTGTCAATTTTTGTTATGGAATTATATAAATAAATTATAAAAAGCAGTCATTACATTCACAAACGTAAAGGGAACTGAAATTTACATTAATTATATACTAGTTGACAACTTATGCATATTATTTTTAAATACAGAACAGGGTATCTATTATTCGTTCGCTGCAAGCTGATGCACTCTTTTTGCTGCTGGCCTTGTTCAAATTTAATTAAATTCTTCAGCTCTTTGAGCCGCAGGATCGCACTTGACGCATAATTTGTCTAGCACTTGAGTGTACTTTTTTGTTGTCTTTTTGTTGTTGTTTTTTTTTTTTTTTTTGCAGAAATGCCAGTTGCGAGTTGCTGTTGTGGCACAAACGCACACTGAGGCGCAAAAAAGTGTTGCATGCCGCAGGCGGTATGCGTGTATTTGATTTTGTGCGGAACTGTGTGTGTGGACCATGCCAAAGAATATAAATTGTTGGGCAAGTTTATCTCACTGTTGCAGCAAAGGGAAAGAATAATTTTTGTTTGCAACACTCACACATACAAACACTTACAAAATGGTTGGTCAGAGTAGTTTTTGTTTTGTATGCCACGCATATGACAAAAATATATACATGTGTCTGTATAAACAGATATACGTGTGTTTTTTAGTGTGTGTGCGCGCGTGACAGTGAGTGATAAAAGTTATGAGCTCTCTGGGGTATTCATTGCATAATTTACAGCTGATATTCACACTTCGCATATCCAATCCTTGCTGAATTAAAGTCTGGCATGCAGTTGCTTTGGAACAGTTAAGGATGATCAAATTCACTTTAGCTTTTCTCTCATAAAAACCCCCATTCGTTTATCAGGGATTATTTTTTAATTTCTGGCCCTATGGCTTAGTTTTGTACACTTTCTGTTTATCATATAATTTTTATTTAGCAGAATTTAAAATTTTTATTTGTACAGGAACAGCGCATGCATACATTTGTTGTATAACCACAGTTTATTTTCTATTGCAATTTCGCGTGTTTATTTATTTAGGTTTAATAAATAATAAAGTAAAGAAACACGAGCATGGTATGTAAATAAAACATAATCATTTGTGTTTCTACCTTGGCATTAATTAATTATAATATTTATATTTATTTTGACTTACCTTTTTTTGCTTTTGCTTTTGCAGTGGAAAATTACCCTTTTTTTCGTTTTGTTTGGCGTCTACAGAAGTTTGTTGTACATTTTTAATGTATATTTAAGTAATTTACTGCAAAGAGAAAGCAAAAAAAAAACAGCATGAAAAATATGCATAAATAACTTGGAGTCGCAGTAAAATGTTGCCCAAAGAGTATCTATGTAAAATAAATGAGAATCTCTAGAGAATATGTAGATGAACGACTTCTTATTACCATTTCAAATGAGCGAAAAATGTTGTTCACAGCGATTTTTTAGCGTTGCCACTTCTGAGCTAGGAGTGGCTGTGTGTGTGTGTGTGTGTGAGAGTGGGTGTGTGTGTTGGTTTTATTATAGCACTAATTATGTCATACATATGCAAAAGTGGCAAATAAGGCGTCGTCCTTGCCCCCTGCTCAAGTGTGTGTACATGACACGCTCGTGTAAGCCACTTAAAATTTAACGAATACCTAATGTCTATTCATAGGAGTCTGTGTGTGTGTGAGTGCGTTTAATTTAATTAAGCTCACTGCTACTTAGCTTTGCAGGGTGGTGCATCTGCAAAAAGCATTTGCAAGTCAAGTGCGTGTGCAACAGAAGGCTGCAACATGACCCAAGTAGGGATAAAAAAGCTGAGTAGTAATGAGTTGAGGTTGCCTCTTGGCATGAAGCATGGCAAAAACAGCAATAAAAAGGAAATCTACATGTGGAACACATACACATATATGATATATTGAGTGCAAAATTTAAGCTTTGCAAAGAACAATATTTCACCGCTACCTTGGTTTATAACTTCTGCAGCTGCACTTATATTCTATTCTATTCACTTTATTTTTAATAAGTTTTTCAATTGAATTTGTGTTGGTTTTCAAGTTTTGCCAGCTCAATCTGAATTTATATTCCTAAATTCTATTCCCAAGAAAAAATTTGTGAAATAATAAATACCAAACATCTAAATCAATGCAAGAAATCTCTCGAATAAATAATAAATTTATCATCTAGCTTCAGATGTAAAAAGGGGTCAAGCTTAGTACATTTTTCGGTTGAGTCTTGTTTGCAAATCCAATTTCGGCTGCTGCATCAATTTGAATATATATTTTTAGGGCTAGTCATAAATATGAAATCAGCAAAGTTTTTGTTTATTTTGTTATGTACATATAAATTGGAATGGTCAGCTTATATTGCATGCTTTCGTCTCCTGCTGATGTTATTTTCTTTATTAAGTAATGCAACTGTTTTTGTGCAAGAAAAACGTCTAATTGGAGGTGAGATGCAAATTTTGCAACTCCGAATTGTTTACGAATTGTAATTAGTTTTATTTTCTTTTCAACTGTGCGCATATAGAAGGGAAAGGGGAAAAATAGAAATGAATAAATAATTGATTGTTTAGTTACATGGACAGTGTATTTTGCCTTATATACGCATAATTGCAATTAGGACTTATTTGTACTTTATTTCTCTCATACAAATTAGGTATTAGAAATTATTTTCGATTTTAAAATGAAGCTTTCGGGCGCACATCGACGGCTTTCTCAAGCAGTGCCGCTTTAAGATGGCCAAGGCCAACTGGCTTCTAAGCCCCAACGACATACCAACCGGGTAGCAAGAGACCTCGGTAGGAGGTGTGTTGTCAGGAGGCTCAAGAGAAGATCTTTCAAGGACCACGAGAACCACGACAGAGGAGACGCCCCAGAGTCTCTCCACTACCTACGTGACGATGCAGCCTTATTCCAAAAAGCCGCTTTTGAGCCCGTTAGCCTCGATAAAGCCTGAGGACCCAACCAGGCTTGGCGAAACATCACCTAAGCCAACTGTGTTGTAATAAAAATGAATGCTATATTTGATCCAATACAATAAACATTTATAAAAATCAAATAAAAAAAATTAAGTTACAAAATACGTTTTCTTTTTATTTTCTATTATTTAAATAAATGTAAGAATTATGGAAGATTTAAACGCAAAGAATTAGAAATAAAAATGTGTTTTGATTTAAATTATTGAATATATATTTTATACACAATATATATACATTATATACAGAATATATATTCAAGGGAGCCAGATACTAATAACTAGCACGAAGTAGATATTAAATACGTAGTATATTAAGATTTATTACTACGCACATATCATTTATATTAACCTTATATCTTATCCCATCTTGTAGCACATAAATATAACGTACTAGCTCCTTTATCCATAGACCATCTCTTTGAGATGTCGTTGGCTTCAGCTCTTCGAAAATTCTTGCCTAGGGTTGATAAGTTACTTTAACCCAGACGCATTTGCAAACAATGTTGTTGCATTCATGTTAGCATTTAAGTATTTGCCACATCGTGTTGCATGTTTGTTCAAAATTAGATAGTTATAATGAAAAAAATGCATTTTGCATAAGCCTGCTGGCCATAGTACAAATGCCAGTATTCAAAGGCTTATTTATAGCAATTAATTAAGCCTGGCACATATATAACAGTTCACGTTCGGACAGACTGACAATAAGACACGTTATTATATATCACGTACATATATATGTATAGATACGTATATGTGTGCGTATGTGTGTACACTCGTTTGGCCTGTAAGCCGCAGTCCATTGCTACAGCTGCCTTTGTTGCCACAGCATGTTGCAGTTGCAGCTCAAATTCACCGAAGCATGCAGCAATACCGCCCATTTCGCCCCCCCAATCGTCTGGCTGTCTGCATGTCTTTCGCTCTGTCTGTTCTGTCAGCTCCCTTCGCATGCATTTTCATATTGAAAATCACTCAAGTGGCAGACCGACAACAACAGCCGCGTGCTTTGTGTGGCAATTTTGGTTCTTTAGCGCGAAACAAAAAAATAATAATAATAAAAAAAAAAAAGAGAATCCAGAGGAGAAAAACAAAAGCAGCTTCATGTTAATTTTAATATACGACGCACAGTGGTGCCGCATAATGAGCGCCGTTTAGCTGCATGCCTCAATGGATGTTAATAAAAGTCGGCACACATTATTTCTAAAGCACAACTGATGCCCTTACACCAAACACGAGTCGCTAAGAGTGTAAGGAAACATAAGCTTTATTTAAAGAGTATATCTATTTCGGTGCTATCTATGCATATTTTATTTGAATGTATTTTTTGTTTAATAATAAAATGTGCAAATGTGTTGCTGGGCGCAGTCAACAGATGTATAGACTGCCTACACTACGCTCCCCAGACAACCCTACACACCACACACACACACACACACACACACACTACACACACTCACACACATCAAATTCTTAACCATTTTTGTGCATGAGTGTGTGCGTGTGAATGAATGTATTGTATACCCGCACGCGCCCGGTATTTGTACATAATTTCATTGCAGCCGTAGGTATTTTTTTGTCTCCCTATTTATGCACAAAACAAGCGCGCACCATCACCGCCCCCGCCACCCCTCGCTCCTGCCCCAACCGTCGCTTTCAGGCACTTTGCTTTGTTTTTAGTTTAGTTGCTAATTTATTTGCTTCTATGCATTTGGGTTTCTGTCGGCATTCATGCAGCTTGTGGACTGCTTTTGTGCGCCTTTTGTGTGGCATTTTAGCATTGCCGGCTTCCCCATATTTCGTCGAGTAGGGGGGGGTATATGCTAGGAGGGGGGTACCATGTTTAAGCGCATCTGCCGGATGCATGCAACCAGCCCCTCCGCACAAACACACACTCACACAACACACACACAACCCATATTAGCTTCTTTCTCTAGCTTTTTATGCGCTACTTCTATTTACTTCTGCTTGAATATTTATAAACTGCAAAAAAAATTCTTGTAATTACATACGTGCTGTATTTTTCCATAGCTGCATCTGTATCTGTATCTACATGTGTATCTGTATCTGTATCTGTATCTGTGCATCTGTTTTGGGGGCAAATGTATCTTATGGTGTGCGTGTTAGCTGCATGTGCATTATTTGCGCTTGGTTGCCTCTTGGCTTATGCATTGCTAACAATGCTAATGAAAGAATAAGTACATAACACAATTGGCTTTGTTAAGGCTTTGGGCCACACTTTGGCTACCAACTTTAAGCGTTTCTTTCTATTGCAGTGGGTGTTCTACTGTAGTCGTTGTTGTTGTTGTTCTTGTTGCGCTTGTTACTATTGGGGCTTCGATTTCCCATTATGAAAACTAGTTTCCCTCTTCTTCTTTGCTCAGCAACGGTTTTGCATTTCTTTTCTAATCAACTTGGCAACCGCAGCGGGCGCATTGAACCGGGAAAGCAGCTTTATGCATTCTTTTGCCCTTGTTGTTGTTGTTAGCCACAGTTGTGGAGCGTGTTAATTACCTTTTGTGCGGCATTGGGCCGCCACCGCAAAGTCAGCAAGTTAGTCGCACGCATATGGAGCCCTCTCGAAGTGGCAAAGTTTTTGCCATCGCACAGGCATTTCTGCAGCTCGCATATAAATCATTTTTCATTAGCTCACGCATGAGCTGAGCTCAGCTCGCACATAAAGAATTTCGCGCTGAATTTTTGGGACAGCTCTGCTTAAGTTAAGGCCGAAATTCTTTTTCGGCCAGTTGTTTATGTTTGTTCCCCTTATGCTTTGCATGTTCAACTTTAATTGAAATATATGACTGGCCTCAAAAAGCAAGAAAAAATATGTAAAAAAGCCAAAAATGCCCTGGATATAAGCACGCAAAAGCAAGAATCGCGTTTTTACAATGCATGCACCTATATATCAAGTAGCTGGCATTTCTACAGGTACATAAACTGTTCACTTGACCTTTGTTTATGTACTTAAACAATTCAGGTAAAATTCTGCGCATCGAACCTTGAAAGATTGTACTTCTTTTTTAACCTATTTCCGAAAGAAGTAAACGCTGGACACAAAATACGAGAATGGCACAAAAAATATATATACTTTTTTGTTTACTCTCTTTTCCGCTCCTTCTCCGCATTTTGCGCTGCTCTTTGTAATCAAGAAAGTTTGCGCATAAATACAGGCCTGACCGATTCAATGGGATGCAAAAAGAGGGTAAATGTGGCAGCAAAAGTTAGCCAACAGTAAAATACTCTTTCCGTAAAATTTTATCTTTAGGGTTAAGTAATGTATTCACGATATTTGCTGTTAAATAA